GTCCCTCTGGATGGTGTCCCTTCCCTCCAGCGTATCAACCGAGCAATTTTCCTACTTTTGGTGTGACGTTGATCACTTAACATGCAGGGCATGCACAGGAAGGATGCATGTGAACTAATGTGTGTTGGTTTTGTCTAATTCAACATTTATCCCAGCAGAAAAAGAGAAAGAAGTGTAATTATGTTGTGCTCTGAATTACTTTGAAAAGTCTTTACTGCAGTGGGTGGGAGAATGTCTGCCTGACAGTGTGTTTAGCCTGTTGCCTAATTAGTATTTTAAACCTGACCACTCTGCAGATGGACAGCTCATTGACAACTCAGGTTCTTTGCATTGCTTGTGTTTGACACCACACATAGGGTATCACAGAGGTGTTTGAAAGCTTTTTACATCTACCGTTTTCAGCTCAGCGCCAAAGGACATTTCAAAGTTACAGGCCAACTAAATGCAGCAACTTAGACCATTGTAGCTGTTTTTACTGCAGACACCTGAAGCCGAAGTTGGTGTGCTTACAGGTGTGCATAGCTATGCATTCATGTCCTTTCACAATAGTATAGTTTACTTCTTTAACTACCTTTATGCTAATATTACTTCATCAGCACTTGAAAATGTTCTGGTTTAGTGATACCAGTTTCGGACTGGAGTAGGTAACACAATGATGTCACTGTGTTCCCAAGCCTTTGTTTTGCAAATAGGCAGAGGATATGCTGTAATCTTATTTACTAGAAAACAAACTTCTACAGATCATAACACAAATTATTCTACAGCAGGTGAAATCCTAACCATCTCAGTACTGTCTTGTAAGTCTCAACAGAGAGGAATTGTGTGCCTGTTAAGTTGTCATCTTCCTGTAGCTCCTGGGATGCGGGGGTCTGTTTATTTATTTATTTATGTGCTTACTTTATTTATTTATTTAAGAGGAAGGAAGCCCTCATGTAGCCTTAGGAAGATGACACAGATGTTAACTAGCACAAACAATCCTTTCTTCCAGCAGTATGAGGCAGCTATCAGTTGACAAGGGTATTTGTTACACATGATACTCTTTTAAAGGAGAATGTATGTGGGATAGTGTTAATTAGAGTAAAATAGGATATTTTAGGATGTCTGTGTGTGATAACACATTTTTCACGTACAAACTGAGCAAATAGGCCTTCTCCAATCTCTGTCTTACAAGTGAGAAGTAGGTTTTCTGATACTATAGCCTAAAGGGGCAAATAATTCAAATTAAAATGCCCATAGTACTGCTCCATAAGCTTAAAAATTGGTAACATTTGCATACATCCAAGTCAAAATGTCATGAAAATAAATGTCAAATGCATTTTATCTGGCAGTTGCTAATTATATTGCCATAGTATATTACTTTTCTTCTTGTGTGATTTTATTCAGTTTTGGATTTCAATGATCCCTTCAGTACTGAAGTTAAGCCAAGAATCCTGCTCATGGGATTAAGAAGAAGTGGGAAGTCTTCCATTCAGAAAGTTGTCTTTCACAAAATGTCGCCGAATGAGACTCTCTTCTTGGAGAGCACAAACAAGATCTGCAGAGAGGATGTTTCCAATAGCTCCTTTGTCAACTTTCAGATATGGGATTTTCCTGGGCAAATTGACTTCTTTGACCCTACGTTTGACTATGAGATGATTTTCAGAGGCACTGGAGCACTGATATTTGTTATTGATTCTCAGGTAAAAGAGGGGCTTTAAGCTACTGTTTCCTTTTCATCTTTCAGCAATAGATAAATGGGTTGGAAAGCCTAGATTTTTTTTTTTCGAAACAAATAAATAACCTGTATCACAAACACACATTGAAAGAAAGTCACTAAAGTCTGGAGAGCTGCTTGGTTATTTTTAATCTCTCTCTGCAGTATGTTCAAAGTTAACTAATTTGCTTTAACATCTCAAGGTTCTTGCTCATATTTCCGACTGCTGACAGCATGAGATTGGTGCACATGCTGGATGTAGACTCAGGCTTCTGCTTACAAGAAATAAAAAATTAAGCTGTTGTTGAACTTTAGCGTTATCTAAAAGTAAGTATTGTACCTTTGCCACAATTGTAGCTTTTCTTTTTATTTCATTAGGATGATTATATGGAAGCATTAGCTCGGCTGCATCTTACTGTTACCAGAGCCTATAAAGTGAATCCAGATATCAACTTTGAAATCTTTATCCATAAAGTGGATGGTTTATCTGATGATCACAAGATTGAAACGCAAAGAGATATTCACCAAAGGGCAAATGATGACCTTGCGGATGCTGGATTGGAGAAGATTCACCTCAGGTGAGAAAAGCTGCTGTGCAGAGAATCCTAAAGACAGCAGCTTATTTCACAAGTTACCATTTTTTGTTCTCTTAAAGTAGCTGGCTACAAGCTTTTGATATGTGAAAGAAAAGGATAATCAGAGACACTGCATTTGACCTGGACCAAAGTATCTTATTTCTGATTGCTGTCTTGGAGAGAAAGATTGAGAGATGTGCTTAAAACCAGATGACAAATACGCCAGAGTCCTACCAGCTTTGCTGCAGCTGCTGTCTTGAAATAAGTTGCTTGGACAGTGGCAGCAACCAGTAGAACTTCAGCCAGTAGAATGTATACGTCACCTACATTACTTTTGCCTTCTCTGAAACCTCTGTGCCTCACGGTCCCCTCCTGGTCTCTAGTCCTTACTGCTGCAGCCTGCTTGGAGCCACTTGGGAAAACAGGTGCTGCATCTTTGCCTTAAGTCTGCTGATAAAGCAGATTATTGTAGCAAATAATGAAAAATTAGTGGACTTCTGCAGACTGGGAACTAGAGGAAATCAAGTTGTCATGGGTTTCTTAGCACTTAAAGCCAAGTACAAATATATTAGAAAGGGAGACTTGCTCTGTGAACATGCTAGCTCTTTACTGCTCTTAACTACTTGACTGCATCGTTGTACTGATAAATGGGTCCACAGCTTTTAAAAAGTGGATTAAACCAGACATACTCAGTAATATTCCTCTCCTGCAATTTGAAAAATATTTTCATAAGAAAACCAAGGTGGGAGTTGCATCGTGAAGTTCTGCATCAAGGTGGTCTAGTTTGCAGTGTTTAGTTTGTTTTTTTCTTAAACAGAGATGAAGTCTTATGCTTCCATCATAACATGATTTTTGATCACAAGGGGTAATTGCAAAAGTGTAGGCACTTGCTGTTTGACAATATTTCATTTCACTCATATTATGAAAGGTACATCATGTTCACAGTATGTGGCTAAAAGGAAAATGTGGTGACGTTTTTTTCCAGCTTTTATCTGACAAGCATATATGATCATTCTATATTTGAAGCATTTAGCAAAGTGGTACAGAAACTGATTCCACAGCTCCCAACACTGGAAAACCTGCTTAACATCTTTATTTCAGTAAGTACTTGTTATATACTTTGTCTGTAGATCCAGCTATGTCCAACATGCATGTTCAGATACTCTGTTCACTGCCTTCTCAGAGATAATGAGCAATGTGAACTCTCAGAGGAATTATCAGAACTTAGGTGAAATGCACGCACATGCAGCTTGGCCTTACCTCCCTGTCTGTTAAACAGTGTTGCTGAGCTGCTGAGATACTCACAGTATTTCCTGAATCACATGAAGTGGATTAGCATTCATCACTTTTCTGCTCATACATTAATCTGAATGTTGCAAAGGTCTGTGCTGCATGCATTTGTTTAAGTAGTACTTAAAATTTGGATAAATTCCTAAAGGAACATTATCTAGTCTGACCTCCTATGTAGAGCTTTCTGTAGTGCTTCCCAGATTTAATGCTACTTTGTATCAAAGTTTACCCCTTCTCTTTTTTTCACATTTTTAGCGGTAGAGTTCTTCACAATTTTCACCACTTCTGTAGTTACTCTGAAGGCCAGTTAAGGAAGCTTAGTGGCTTGTTATCACTGTGGAGGTAAATTGCTTGCTCCACTGTTCCTGTATGTGTGATCCCTTCCTGTCCTTCCTACTGGTACTGACACTCGCCAGATCCCTCGTGGAGTCACTATGGCACACGCTAATGCACTGTTTAATTTAGTTAAAAGCAGGTCATGGAGGAGTCAGACATGCTCTTGTTTTGGCACAAGATAACTGTTGGGAACATGTGGTCATGAGCAAAGAGGAGCACAGGAGGTTGTGAAAAGGGGGAACTCTTTGTTTTGGTGATCCTTAAGTCAGGTCATAGCAGCTTCTGAAACTGCATGTGTTCTCACAGTATTCTAATTTTGCACCTTTAATCTAGCATTAATTTCTCAAGCTCCAGTTTCTTATCATGGTATTTTGTTGTGCCTTTTTGTGATTTTGATGTAATGAATTTACTTAATATTATTCAACAGCCTGTAAGATAAAATTAGATTTCACAGTTTCTCAGTGTAGGCTGTGAAAGCGGAGAGAGAAAAAAGTTGGATGTGTTGCTGAAAGGGAGAGCTAGGATTAGAGGAAAGTCTGTCCAAAACTTACTCTTTTACTATTGAAGAACAAATTATGCTGTTTCATAATGAATAGTTTGTTACAAAAATCTGTTTGTACCAAAATGGCTGGTCTGTATAACAGTTATCATTGAGTCTCAGACTCAAACTTAGGAAGTAAGGTAATTAAAAGAGTGATGACAACAGTTCTGGAGCAATTTGATGCTGAATACGCTACAGAGTCTTGAAGAGAAAGCTGTCTGAATGGTAGTCCTCCTTGTGCCAGTCACTCCAGTCACTCATACTGCAAGTCGGATCTCTGTATGGAGTCTCCTCACTGTTTGGAGTTGGTGAAGAATCTGATGAATCAAACGCAAGTGGCTTCCTCAATGACTGATGACAGTTGTTTGTGTTTCTGGAACATCCAGATCCAATAATATCTAGAATAGCAGATGTAATTTGTGAGGAAGAGCAAGTCTTTCAAATGAATGCGAAGTCTGAATAAGTGAGACAGGTGCACTATTTGAGCTATTTGGTACGGGAAAGAGCATCAGACTGCTGCTGAGCTCCAAAGAGAGCCAAGTCCAGTTTGTTAATGACCTAGAGCAAGGTGTAGCTGTATCACTGTGTCTTGTTGTCTGTTTTTACAAGTATCTTCTGTCTGTAGACAAGAGACATAGAATGACTATTTGACACCACGGGAAGAGTAAACATCATTCTCCAGAATTAGTTAGTGGGAACCTCTTTACTTTAGCAACTTTGTGACAACAACTCTTGACATGGATTTTGGTCATGCCTTACCTTGGGAAGCCAGTGTGGGTGTACTGGTGTTCTAGTTTGGGTTTTGCAGCAATGTTCCTGAGGATGTGCTTTCATTTATGCCATGGAGACTTGAAACACAAAAAGCTGATGATTACAAAAATAGATCTGTCATCACTCTTAAGTTCACAGCAGGTTTTTGCCTAACTTTGTAGTGCCAGAGTGTGTTAGCCTGTATGTTTGAGGAACCATTAGTGTGATAATAGTGCTTCTACATTCTTTAATGTAAATGCTTGTAAATCATAAAATAGTAGTTGATCTGGCATTCAAAACCCATGTAAATCTCACCTGACTAACACTCTTATCACTTCATTTAGAAGGATGTCTATTCTTCAAATACTGTCTCCTTACTACGCAATCAAGTTGTGTGAAAGAGGAATGTGGATTTTAATTTTAGGGTTGTTGGTTTGGTTATTTTTTTGAGGAATGTTAAAAAGCATGTGTTAAAAACAAACAATAAATTATCATGGTAACAATAAAATTAAGTACAGATTTGTTTAATTATTTAAATCTAATAATATGTAAACTCAAATACAGTATTTAAAATTAAAATTCATTCATTAAATCTGCTGTTTGCTATAAGATCTGTTAAAATAACTGTCCAGATTTTATTCCTAACTGTAAGTAACTGGTGATGTTCTGTAAAGTCTTTTAAAAATTACTTTTTAGGGCCAAATTCTGGCTTACTCTTAAGGCTTTCATGAAGGAAAGAGATAGGCCCATTTACCTAACCTAGGAATTGGAGTAATGCTACTAGTTTTACTGAACCCATTCCATTTAAATAATAGAAACTGCCTACTTTACCACCCAGTATAGCTGAGAAACATGGTTTGAATTCGAGCTACGTCATGGTTTTTACCCATCCAAAATAAAATCCCACCTAGTCACTGCACATTTTTCACAATGACTGACTTGGTTCAGATTAGCCATAGAGTGCTCTTACATCTCTTCGGAGTGCTTGATAGAGCTTCTAGCACATGTTGCATCTTCTTTCCAAGCTGTAGGGTTGTGTCAGAGACAACTGGTGCCTATTCTGACCCTGTTCTCATTGACATCAACGGCAGCGTTTCATTCAGTTGCGTAAGGCAGCTGCTGGTCTTTGTTTCTCTAATAAGGAACACTCCTGCTCTAGTAACAGAAACGGCTTATTTCTTACTGTCATTTTCCCTGACTGAGCATTAATGTTGTAATATCTCTTTGAAGAGTATTTTTTAGCCACTGTTTCCTGTTTTTTATGACCTGTTTGTACTGGTATTGTTTTCCCTCGAGCAGTTTCCTCACAAACATTCTGGCAAATCCTTTGCTTTTTCAGTTAAAGTTGTACTAAAATCTCTGGCAAATTAAATCTTTGAAGTCATGTGGGTACAATTTAGTGGTTACTACTCCTGGTAGTCCATCCTACCCTTTCACAGAGGTTTCTGTCACCATACAAAATTCAGCAGAAGTAAGTTTCTCAGCCTGTCCTACCATGATGTATTAATTTCAATTGAAAATGAGCATAGTTTAAGACACCAGGCTCTGCCCTTACCAACAGGCATAACCTGTCAAGATGAAAACTTTTTAAACAGTCACTGCAAATACAGGCAGGCTGTAGCAGCTGGAGTTCTGAGATAGAAAAATCACTTCTCATTGTTAAATGTTACTATATTGTCACTGGCATCTTAATAATTTACATCTTACCTGTACAGCTGAAATTATCACTCTCTCTCTCTTTATATCATATGTAATTTTATAATTAAGTCCTCATGAATGACAGTTCAGGGCTTGAGTTCCAACTTACTTTGTCTAAAAGGATCTGTATTTTCAAATATGTATTTTGGCAATGAATTACAGACAAGTCAATCTTGTGCTTAATGTTATTTGACAGCAGCTTTTGAAGTATGTGACATGCTGTCAGAATTGTTATTTAAAACCTACTGTATATGGCCAGAATAATCAAAATAAATATACATACATTTTTGTTCGTGGTGCTCAGAGAACATAGGCTTACAGAGCCATGTAGGCTGCAAGGGACTTTTAGAGGTCAGTTCCTGCTCAGAGTCAGGCAAGTTAGAGCAGGTTGCTCATGGCTGTGTCCAGTGTGGCTTTGTGTATCTCCAAGGATGGAAACTCTAAAGACTCTCAGGTCAGCGTGCTCCCAGTGCTTCACAGCTCTAATGATAATTTTAGTTTTCTTGTATCATGTCAGAATTCCAGTTTGTGCCTTTTGCCTCTTGTCATTCAACACTGTAGCTCTGAGGAGAGTTTGGCTCTGTTTTCTGAACACCCTTACGTTAGGTATTTGTAGATAGCAACGAGCCTTCTCCAGGCTGAAAAAAGCCAGTTCTCTGAGGTTTTTCTTGTACATCATGTGCTTCAGCCCATGTACCTAATATATCCACAATGTATACTTGGTTTGAATATCTTTTTTTTTCACTAAAGACTTACTGAAATATGCCACTCAAGGAGTCTTTTCTATAATGAAATGCAAGAAATTCACCTCTATACTCTGTTGTTACTGATGGATGTTTCCAGCCTTAGCTGTATGTGTAGTGGTGGAAGAATTAAGCCTCTTTAAGAAGAAAATGCCCCAAATATTGCTGACCATTGTTCAGTAGTATACCTAGTGTTGACATGTTTCTACCTATTTCAGAAAATTTGGAAAGTGGGAGGGTCACTCTAGTCTCTTATCTGTGTGTTGAATAGTTGACTTAGAAAAGAAAGCAGAAAAAAAGAAGAGTTCTGTAACTACAAAGGAAGCCAAAGCTATTCAAACTTGTTAGGGGGTTGCAGCATGTTTTTTTGGTAGCTGTGGCAGCAGTCCCAAACTATATTAAAAAGGGAAGCCCATTTATGGAGAAAATTTGGTTTGATGGAAGAAAGTTGCTTTTCTTCCCGTATAAGTGGATTCTGAAGCATATTTTGTAGCTTGAGATTTAGCAATCTGGGAAATTGCCCATTGTGTTCATGCTGGAATAGGTGCCCAGGTGCAATCCCTTGATAGCAGCAAGCAAATCTACTGTTCCCAGTTCAGCAGTACACATTTTTTCCTCTTTCCACCCCCCCTCTCCCCCAGGAAGCAGAGGCTGATGGCATCTTACATTACCTACGCATGGAGCATGA